ATATTGCCATGTTCTCTCACTGACTTGCACATCTCCAGTGGCCTTCATTTAGAATAGAGGTTTTTTCAAAAATTCGGTTGTTTTGCCTTGATAATTTATTTTGCTTCCAATCATGTTAATACTGAACAAATCAAGAGTTAAAAGATTTAATCCTGTTTTCTTCCACTTTCTGTTTTTTCTAAAGGATGAGTCATATGAGTACGGATGGCCTTTTGTTATTCTTTAGTAAACTCAAACAAGAATATTTATTCTCTCATTAGAATAACAATAAATCAGCAAACAGAAAAATGTGAAACAATTTTTTAAAAGTTTTGGCTGTATCTCAGTTATTGTTCTTTTTTTCTAATTTAAAAAAGACCAAAAAAAGGAACATGTTCATAAATTGTGCTGGGTTTCTAGTGCTGAAGCCTAAAACCTGAAACCTTTCTATGCTGAGGTCCTATATGAACCAATAGCTGAAGTACAGTACGCTTGAGCCCTTCTGGGAATTGCATGTACTGTCAGAAGCAACAGTGATTTGAGCAGAGAAGCCAACAGAGTGACTGATTTGCATGATGCACCCCCACTTTCAACACAAATCCTGTGTTAGATAGGATAGCCTGCTTTTTACAATAATTTGTTCTTGGGCTGCTCTTCTAATTGATTTAAATGGTTTTTGTTAGTTAGAGATATAGCAAAACATGATCTTTTGTGATTGTGTAAAACTAAACGCAAACACCAATTCACAACCAAGTTTATTCTTAAATTTATAAATATTTTCTGCCATTTTATGTTATTTTGATGTCTAGCAACCACAAGTTGAAGAGCACAAAAGCCTTTACAGGACAGTCTCCTGCCACAAAGTCTTGTAGCCATTTCATTAAGTACTTCCTTAGGCAGATAGGACTGTGGTATTTCTTTAAAAAGTGAATGTCTGGGTTTTTTCCGTGGTACAGTGGAAAACTGAGTTAGAGACAAGAAGAAAGGATTCCTTGCAAAATAATTTTGACACTCCGGTGAAAAGGAGGAGCATCCCCACAAAGGCATTGGGCCAGTTTTCTAAATGAACAGATTCCATCATTGGCGACAACAGTAGGTGTGTGTTTAGTACAGAAAAACCACGCCCTGGCTGTAGATTTTGAATTCCCCAGCATTCAGTATACCCAAAGGTCATTAAGCTAGTTTGGCTTGTGTCCTTCCTGCTGTGAAGAGAAAATGCTGTGGGTGCCGTCTGCTTCACCCGTATGCAGTCATAATGTTGGCTCTGCCTTAAGAGCCTTCACAGCTGTGCTGTAACACAGTTCCCAACATGACTCGGATGAAGGGTTTTATTTAATCTGCACAGGACCAGGACTTCTGCAGAAAAAAGAATTTTTGTTTGTGGAAAGCACTGAAGCTGTGTGAAGCTGAAAACAGCACACGTGGACAAGAGGCTGCATCTTAAAAGTTGATTTCCCATTGTCTTAGGAAATAATTTCAGTGAAAATGGAAAGATGGGAGAAGAATGAAACATTTTCATTGACTTGGCCACCTTAATTCCTGTAATTGTCCATTAAGACATCAGTCATAATTTGCATTACTTCTAGTTCATAAATGGGAGTGGTTGAAGTGCGTATGGGGTTTTTTTTTGTTTAATGGCTCTAGATTCAGCTTTTCTTCTGGGTCAAATGTTTTTAAAAAGTGGTCTTTAAGATAAAATGTTATAGATGCATCTTAGCAGCATATGTTGGTTCACTAAGTACAATTTGGCAAAAAAAAAAGTTTCTTTACACTCAACTAAATGCAGCCTTTTTAGTTTTTCCCCCCCTCCTGCGCTTTTGGTCACTATTCACGGTGTTTTATGTCTGTGAAACTACACAGTCCTTTTAGATTGCAAGATTCTTTACTATCATTAAAATCCACACAGAACAAAAAATAAGTATCTTATTCCTGATATAGAGGTAATTACAACGACAAAACCTGAAGATTCTCAGTTCAGATTAAGCAGTCTTGGAAACAAAGGATAGCTGCCAGCGTGTTCTGCAGGTCAGAACTTCGGGAACTTATGAAGTAACACTTAGATCATTTGCTTAGCAACTGACCGTTTGGGAACGTGGACCTGTGATCACGTGATAAATATGTAAGAGCATGTCTCTTATTTGTCAGTCTGAGGTAGAATGTCACTAACCACAAGACTTAAACGTACACGAGGAACCCCAAATTGCAGGAGTAGCATGAATACTTGTTATCTAATGCAGAGGTTGGTCAATAGTTCTGGTCTACACATCTTTCACGGTATCCGCAGTAAAGCGCAAATAGATTCAATAACTTTTACAAGTGATTATTCCAGGTCCCCCCATGCAAAAATGCTCTGATTCTGATATGAGTACCTTTTTCCAGTTTTGTCCAGATGCCAAGATATTACATCCCTGGGAAGGTGTGTGTTGATCAAGAGCTACTTCCTAAATACTCCTATACTTCCTGCAAGACTCAAGAATCAAGACAGCTGGGATTTTAGGGGGACTGTTTCTGTGCAGAGGATGTGAAAAGGAGGTAGAATGTCACTAAAATTTGTCACAGCCTTTGATCATAAACTGTCCAAGGAAAGCTGCTAAGCCACAGTCTGTTCAGGCCAGGTACTTACAACAAAACAAAATCGTGAATGTCCAGTGAAAAGGAATTGACTCATGGTGATAAATGGTAATTGCCTTGTGGTTTTACACTAGAATTATAAAATCAATTCTACAACCACTGTTAATGTGAAGGTAGTGCTAATGAGAAATTCCAGTTATTCATTTAGTTTAATATTCAAGGTGAACAATCCAGAACTGTTCTTAGAATTTAAATTTTGCTCAAAAGATCAAGTCTTCTGAAATAATTGAAAGTAAGTGTTAGTGAAAATAAGGGAGCCACCAAGGGCTCTTTTTTTTGAAAGGATAAACTTGAGAAATATAGAGAAATGTTTATTGTGGTCAAACGGGCTGAAAAATTTGTAGAACTCAGTATGAAAGTGGCTTTAAGTCAAAGACCATGATCAAATTTCTCTTTATTTTTTCCTTAGCTATTTAAATGTGAACACTTACTATGTAACACTCAGTAAGTTTCACATAAATTAAACAATTACTGTGATTAACTTGTAGCCATTAATACTGAAAACAGAGTGGCAATAAAAACCTGATCTGCATGCAATTTTGAAAAACTTAATTTTGTTGAATTCTCATACCATAGCTGGGAATGGTTTGGATCCAGTGTTTGGTCTCTTTGTACATTTCTATTCAAGAGAGCCAAACAAATCAATCTAGGTATTATTAGATGTTGTGGTTCTAATTTATATCATGAGCATAACTCCAAAAGAAAAGAACACCTTCTAGGCCCATGCATAAAAGTTTGAAGCATTTTGTCTTGTGTTCTAAGATAGCTCAACAGGAGGGGGTTATCTGGTTTTTTATTTGTAGCTACTTGATGTTTATAAACCAAATGACCTAACCTCTTAGGTAATATGATACTGGATATGAAAACCTAAAGCTGCATGAAATAGTTCCGCCATCCCAACACAGACAATGTGAAAAGCTGGGAGGTACTCAATTCGTGCAAAAAAGTGGTGTGTAATTCCTTTAAAATGTATCAAGCCATTCATACCTTTGGAGTATATAAGACACAGAAGAGATTCTTAGGGTATGTCGAAAATGGCATCAAATTATTTAAGATCTCTTCATACTTGTTTCAGCCTCTTCCACCTCAGGTGATCCCAGCAGCAGAGGACTTTCCAGTTTAAGTGCAAATGTATTTCAGATAAATAGGTTTCGAAATGAGACTCAATACCTATCAGATTAAAAGGTAGCCTCAAGCTCCTCTTATTTTGTTATGCATGCAGAGATATGGGTCTCTTTTTTGAGGATGACAACTCATGACATTAATGAATTACTGATAGGGGTGATGGTTCCCTGGGTCACTGTAATCTCAGCAACACTTAAGAACAAATGAATGAACACTCCTGCAGTTAATGACTTGGATCAAATTAATTGACTGAGAGCATCAATTAATTTGGTCATTGTTTTAGCGGAGCTGCACACTGTGACAGCTTTGTGCATTCACTTTGGAGTCTCCCAAACTTGTACTTTAAGCTACCTTCCCAGCAAAACTGCATTCATAACAAAACCTGCTTAAGCCGTCTTGTTTGGAAAATAAGTTTGTGTGTTCTGATCCTATTCTCAGTAAAGTTTTGCATGGAATAAAGGAAGAACTAGACTTAAGTGGATTAGTGGTCTCAAGATTTTTTTTTTTTTTTTGGTCCTCTGTACCTTCTTGTTGGAGGAGCAAAGAGTAGAGAAAAAGGCAGTACTTGTTCTGAATTCTTTTCAAATGTAGTGATGACAGCATCAAATTGAATTATTTGAAAGTTTCAGTTTGGGAGATTGGTGCTTCTGATTTGGGATATTGGTTTTGTCATTAATTTTTTTTTTATGTTTGCTTTCTTCTCAGGTCCCACAAAATCATGGTGTGAGGCAGAGATGGTGAGAAAAAACACTGAAATAGAAGTGTTGCGATTTTCAGGCCTCTCTCATTAACTCTGATTGTTCATCAGCAGAAATATTCAGGCTTGCTCCTCTGCTTCTGAGAGACCTTCAGTTTGTGCGGCCACATCAGGTACTTACCTTCTACCTTTGTTAGGAAGCACTGAGAATTAAAAATCCTGTTTGGGCTGTACCCATTGACTCTTAATTAACAGAAGAAATGCTTTACCACAGAGACTTTACAACAGGACTTCTTTTTTTCACATGCATGTATCTCACATACCACGCACACTAACTATTCGTATACAGTCTCAGTGTACGTTTTGTACACACACAAAAGTTCCAGATGTGTTATGTGTCTTGTTTAGTTGACTTTATTCTTCTGTAAAGCCAAGAGAAATATTAATCATTCATTTACTGTTAGGGGATGGGTCTTCTTCTCATGTTTCAGTAAAGGGGGTGGAAAAGTAAAGTAAGCCAATTTTTTTCCTATTTAAGGCCAAAGCTGGGGAATGCTTGTGGCTGAGTTCTGTACATGGCCCGGTGCTGGAAGGGCAGGGAACAACCGATGTTGCTATTTTGAATAGATTTTTCTTCCCCCCCCATTTTTATTTTTGCACAGAGAGTCTCATGTCTAATATTTAGACATGATGAGCTTTGTGCAAAAAGTAACTTTGCTCATTCTTGCCGTGTTTCAACCCTCAGTTATCTTGGCACAACAAGAAGGTGAGTAATTCCAGCTACTTATGATTTAATTTTCATATTTTATTTTTATTTTCACCAATCATTTTAATACTTTGCAAGAAATGTGTATTCACAAATCTCACCAGAAAACTTTTCCTTCACTAATTCAGTAGAGTCAGATATTTAATGCTGAAGCTGAAAGCTGCAGGAGTTTGCATTACTGTCCCAAAGGTTTCTCTTCGCTTTGCTTTCTTCTGTGGTTAAAAGGACTGTACAGTGCTGTCTGACTTAGCTGTGTTTGTTCTTGTTCTTACTTGTTTTCCCATAACAGACACTGGAGAGTTTTTAAACTATTTCTTTTAACTCTTGGAATAATATTTTAACTGTTAGCTCTGTGCTGCCTGGAAGTTATTTGTCACAAGCAATAAGTCTTTGCTTCCAGCTTTTTTATTTGTAGTTCTCCTTTGTACTTGTGTGTTTTCCACTGGCAGTGTGGGGGTTTGTTAAAACAATTTGCTTGCAGTAAAGTAGCCTTAAAACTCTAACCAGTTTTGATGAAACAGTTTTTAAGAGCGATATATGAAAATATGTCAGCTTACAGGATTTTTACTTTGACATAAAGCAGGAGGATAAATTAATTCGCTCAGCTGAAATAGTTCGAATTGTGCATCTGCAGGCTGTTTCAATCCCTCATAAGAGTGATTAGCAGCTGATGGTATCTAGGAATCCGTGCAAGTATGTGTGTACATGTTCACAGAGAGTGAGAACACCAAATACCAAATGAACATGGAATTTAGAGGGGAAAAAGAAGTACTTTGTATGCAGTAATTCAACTTAGAATGGAGATAAGTGTGGTATGAGTATTTAAGTTAAACAGATGGCATTCCACAAGTACAGCTGACCTTTTTTGGATGTGCTCTGTTCCTGTTTGCCAGACACTGTAAACCAGACCTTCATTAAGATAAAGCATTTTTCTTTCTTGTAAATATGAAAGATTTGCAGTGTATTTATTCCTGCATCAAAGCAACGAATAACTTCACAAATAACTTGGTAAGTGGCAGCTAAATAAACTGTAATGCAGTAAAGGAAAACCAAATGCCTTTAAAACCACACCCTACCCTAGTCTGTGTGATACATATCATGAAAACAATTACTTTAGCCATTTCATGGCACGTCTGCCTGCCTCGGCATATGTGGAAAGGCACCTCTGCCGATTGAGTGACTGTGAGTCCACCAGCAGGCTGTTGGCAGTGCAGCAGTTGAAGCTCAGGGGGCTCTATGCATGAGCAAATCAGGTAACGTCATCTGCAACAGCAGCATGCCAAATACCAGCCTTCCTCATCAAGCAGAGACACAGGCTAAGCTTTGGAAAGTATCTCAAAAGAAAAATAGCACATGTAAACATGTTCTGTAGAGAATAAATGTAATATACCAGGAATTGATATTTTTCTGTTTCTGCTTTTCCAGTGTATAAACTTTCTTTTCAGTAATCCTTAGTGAATATAGCATTTGAGCAAATGTATGCTGTGAGTTTTCTCTGCTTACAGCAGCAAATAATATACATATTGCATATATTTAATATGTATTATGTATATTTTTTAGATATATATTCAGAGGGATAAGGACTAGGGGACCATCCAATATAAAATGAAGGAACATCAGGTTTATTTCTCCCAATAAACAAATCCCCTCTGAGTGCTGGGTCTCTTTCTTTCCCTCACTCTGGTCTTGTCCCTGGACATTTGTGCAACACATATTTGACTCAAGAAATGGTAAATTTGGGGTTGAAGAACAATATACAGATGAAGTGTGAGGGAGTATTATAATTTCTCTGCCACATTCCTGTATCATGGTGTAGTAACATTTCCGTACTGGGCTAACTTCCACAGAGAGACTGATAAAACACTAGTTATCCCGTAAAATATCAAATTCTGTCCTCTCTTTGGAATGTTCCTTTCCACACATTTGAGTATGCTTTTCTCACAGAAAATAATAATTGAAGGAGTTGATTATTAGCATCAGTAACTCATGTGCAAGGCAGCCACAGACTGGGAAGCCAAATTTTCCACAATTTAAGAGAGAATTTCCAGACATGCTAAAATGCTCTGTCTTGTCAAGAAAAATGTTTATATGGTTAGTATCAAATGTAAGTCAATATAAAATTTTCCTTGGGAAAGCCTGCCAGGAGACAAGACTTGGCAAGATATTAAGGAAACTGCTCAGTATATACAAAATTTAGGATAGTCAGATGTACCCCTGGGCTATGTGTTTCTTTGTCTTGCTGTAATAGCTAGGAATGGAGATTTGAGTACAGCCTCAGGTTAAACCTCTTCAAAAGCTTGGAATCTGGATATTGTGGGGATCTGGTTATTGTGGAACACGGAATTTTCTGTGACTTCCATGAAGAAAATCTGTATGTTCTGGTAACCCACTTACCAGGCTTTTAGCCTGGAAATTAAATCACCTTGACACAATTCAGGTTTTCTAATGTGTGTCAAGTTAGTGTAAGGCGTTTGTGAGCCCTGACCATGTTCAAGATAAAATGTTTCCTGGTAGGTGACATGACATGAAGCTGGTGCTTCAGACATGACAGATGATTCAGATCCCAGCAATATATATTCAGTTCCACCATTTAAAGGCACCTTTATAATCCTACACATTAAACTACCAAAAAACGTAAGAACTTCAAATGCTTCTTTAGGAAAGAAATTCATCCTCTACCCAGCCAGTGTGATTTGGGCAAGCATTCGCTAGCCTTATGGCCTACATTCATACTGTTTATCTTGAGTTTGTAGAGTCAATCTAGATGCTACTTCCTGAACACAGCAGAAATTTTAGCTAGACAGACTGTGGAGGTATTTGGCAGTTTCCATCAACTACAAAGGAAGCACATGCACAGCCCTGCTCACATTGGTGCCAAAAGGGAGCTCGGATGGATTTGGGCCTCTCAGCTGCATCTGAGAAGGGTAAGGGACGTCTTAGACACCTGGAGTGTGACACTTCTTGTATGTACACACCATACACCCCATAGTCCTTAAGGAACTTCGCTGAGGTCATCAGGAAAACTCTACTACTCTAAAAGCAGTGTGAGAGCAGAGCCAGAAACCCTGCATTATTATTCCAAATAATTTTTTGCTCTAATGAAATTTAATGTTTTCCTTGTAATGTAAGTATTATCTTGGATGTTTGGTCAGGAAGCTCATTTCTGAGGTAATGACTGAATCCTAAAATATTTCTGAGAAGACTTATTGACCTTTCATATTACTTTCAGTTGCAAATTAGTTTCAAAATGAAATATAACCATTACATGTAGGTTTCAGGAGGCAGCATGCAAAGAACTCTTTATGCTGAGTACCCACTTCTGATCCCCCAGAAAAGAAGGATGATATTTTATATTTTAGGAAAACTTGTAAACAGCTTGATTTAGCCATTTTGCTTTCTTCTTTCATTAATTTGAAAGAATTAGATAGGTAATGAAGTAGATGGGTAGTGCAGAGATGCAGTGTGTTTGTGAGACTGCCAGGCTGACATTTTTAGCACTTACCTGTATGCAACATTGCACATACACATTCTTTGTTGATAAATTAGTTAGTTTAAGGGTAATGCTAATGACAGTTAGAACTATCTGTCCTCAAAGGTTTTGGTAACAGAGAAAAGTCCCCCTCAAGATTTTTGAAGGTAAAACCAGATGATGCATATCTGTGTGCCAACAGATAATTATGCTGTCATAAGTAACCTGGACTATGTGAAGGTATGAAAGATCAGGGGTCTAGTGCACTTCTTCCATTTTTCCTAGCTGGTTTTTACCAAGCACACGGCAGGCAAGGTTGTGCTTAGGGAAACTGAAACATTCCTTTCGGGTCTGGAAAATTCATGCTAAATGAAAGCCTGGGGAATCCACCCCCTCTAAACATTATATATATGTTCTTGGAAATATGACAAATTTCATAAACACATTTTAGATCACACATCCCTGGAAGACATTAGCCTTAGGAAAATGAGACCATTGTATATCCCTTTTATTATTTTCCAGATTGTTTTTGATTTGAGACCAAATCTATGTAGGCTGATTTTTTTAAAAGAGGAGGTGGAGTTGGAAACATCCACTGCTTTATTACAGGGGAAAGAGGCAGAGGTAGAAGGGTGTTGCCTCTGGCACAAATATTGCTGTTGATGCCTCAGTCACAGACATTACATTTGCTGCCTTCTTAGTGCTGCAGATTACAAGCAGATCCTATTTCCTCTTCCAGCTTCTGCCAAAGTTTTGAGGTTTGAAATAGGCAGCCAGGTGTCACTTGCAAACTTTTAGCTGATGCCAGCCTTATCCAACAGCTGGGTGTTAGTTTTAATTAATGCTATTCAAGAGAAAGAAAGGAGTGAATTACTATCACTTTTTTGTTTCACAGACTGGCTGATAAACCAGACTCATATCGATCTATTAGTCATTGTTCCAGTGATGTGCTAATGTTATTCAACCCTTGTTTTAATCAGAAATGTGCAGAAAATGGGACATACCTGGGTTCATAATTGGGAAAAGATGTTGTAGGTCAGTAACAGGAATGATGCAGACTGTCATTTGGCATTTTGGATTAAAAGTGATCTCTTCAGAGTTGGAACGTTCAGCCTTACCAGTAGGGTGAAACAATTAAAAAGTGTGCTTTCCCAGGTTAGCGGCACTGTGAAAACTGTATTGCTCTTGATGTTTTTATGGTAGATTAGTGATCTGGAGAAGAGCTCAAGCTACAGCTGCTGTAACAGTTATAGATTTTAAGTCATTGAAGTAACAATTTGTCAAAACCTACAGAAGTGGAAATTAGTGCAATGGTCGTGTCCATTAATACTTTGGATTATGCTGTCCTTTAGTCATGCTTGCCTAAGAAACTAGGCAAAAGATCTCAGCTAAGAAAAGGAAAACTGCTGCCAATGGCAAAGATATGTGCTTTTTTAGGCTTGAAGTAACTGGATTGGATTCCCGCATCATTGCAGAAATTCAATAAGATGGAGCAAAATTCAATTTATTATTGGCAACACCCAAAAAAATA